AGAGAGATTGAGGGAAGATAAAGGATGGAGGGTGAGACCTTGGATGGGATAGTTGTCTGCTCTTGGTGAGATGGAGTCGTTTAAAAGCTGTGCGAACGAGATAGCGTGGAAAAGGCTCAGGGAGGAAAATAAAGAGCGCACGCTGACAGACATGTAAGCATATCTAAATAAGCGCACACAGGTTGACTTGTTTACACACCCAACAGCTGCCGTTTTACTTCTGTCATTTATGGAACGTTACATTTGGGATGTGAATGTGAAAGCGTGCTCCGACTGCTGTTATTGTCGCCCACAAGAAAAAAAGTCTGGTACTTTAAATACAGACTCTTAGATTATCTGTTATTATAAAGATTAGTTGAAATGAGGATACTGCTGTATTAGTAGAGCCACCCAGTTTTTAAGTTTTGAGTGATAGCTTGCCAATGCTCCTGAGGGATGGCTGAGCTACATTCCCTTGAAGTGATGATGAGTGAATGTCAGTTCTAGAAAGACTAAAAAAAAGAAATGTTTCAGTCAAAGAGCCTCCATCTTTCTGTTCTTCCCCTCTCTCACGGGCCCAGTGATAGAAAATATTGTCTCAAGAACCCGTGATGATCCCTCGTGTCATGTAACACTGGCTGAATACTTCAGACTTCATTTTAGAACTAGAGATTTGGATCTGTATTTTATTGAATGGCATTATATTGAAATGCCCTTTTCCCAAATTCATTTGGAAAAAGGGCATTGCAGCTCCCTCCTCGTGGAATCAGATGCAACATCTCTTAAAACTTTAAGAGCTGGTCTCGCTAAATGTATTTAAGGTGTTTTTAGGTAACCTGGAGGCAGTTACTTCAGGCTACAAATGTTTTTCATGAATATCACGACTCACCCAAGACTATGCCTTTTACTCATGTTTTGGGCTTTATTGACAAAGAACTTCAAGAATTTTGGTGGTTTTTGCTTTTTTACTACTTGTACTACTTTTTTTTTATCACTTGTAGTAGATTTGCATACTTGCCTGTTCTGTGTGTATTTACTACTGTTGATTGTCCTGGACATCATTTTGGGGTTGGAACACAATGCTAAATTTTGCTCTACAAGGGCCTGATATCCTCCCTCCTCTTAGAAACTATATCAGGTAAAAAGAAAATTCTTTGTTTTTAGATTCATCAGGTCACAATAAGCCCAAATAGCAAAGAGAAATTTAAAAATGCATGCCATGAAAGAGTTTGGGTCTTAGCATTAGCATTAACACAGTAATGTAACGCATTACTGGGCTAAATACAGTAATGGCATTATAGCTAGAATGACGGTGTTACTTGCGTTACAAAGCTCCTTCAATTATCTGAGGAAGATTGAGCAAATAAACAAATAAATAAAAAAAAGAAAAAGCAAAAAAATCAAATGACTGCTTTGAAGTCTCTTTGGGCCGGCTTTTAACTCTTTGTGTTCTTGGTTTTGTGTTCATGTGTAAACACTAAAAGAAAGATCCTATTTGCCGTCATCAGGACAGGGATTTGTGTCAGTGTGTGGGACTGTAGCCTCAGGTTTATTCTGTTAAGTGGCTTGGTAATGCGTAACTAATGTAGCAAACAGCGTAACTGATTACTTTATCTGGCAAGTAATTAAGTAATGTACTACATCACTTTTAAGGAAAGTAATGAGTAATGTGCAAAACTTTTTTTTTTAGTAATGCCTCCGACATTGAAAAAGAGACTCTATAAACAATAAACACTAATAGAAACTAATAGTGGCATTATTGAGCACTTCCACATGAGACTAAACTGTACTCGAATATGACACAATGAAATTTACACTTTTCTACTTTTTTGTCTTGATTCTGAATTGACACTTGAAGCTGTCAAAACAATATGTGAAATTATTCACAGTGGTTTGTTACTCTTATCTATCAGAAAGAGCATTTCTCATTCTTTGTTTGCAAATAATGTTTTAGCACATTTAGGCAAATGACCAGACACAGCTGCTGGGAATTGCGACAAATGTCAGTTGGATTTGTTTTTGTCAGCAAAATGCATTTTACTGTTTTTCTATAAGACGAGTAGTTTAACTCTCCAAAGTTAGTTTTTTCAACGTGCAGGTCATCAAATGTAGAATAGTACAGAAAAGCCGACATTTCATAAATTGCATTGTTATGGAGTGGCTGATGTGATCAACCAGTAAATTTGTTTCCAGGTGAAACGCAAGGAAAGCTTCAAGGAAGGCATATATTGCCCAGCTAGCTTTGCTCCTTCAAGTCACACTACATAGAGACTGTTGCTGACTGGATGTTTGGTAAACTTAGTATTCTTTAATTGATTTTGAGTGGTTGCTGGAAGTTTCTGCGTTTCCTGGCAAATTGCTGGCAAGATGTGTAGTCCCGGACTAAGTAATTAACGGTTCTGGTAGCTTGCTTGCTATCGCTAGCTTAAATTGGACACAAAGAGATATACGGTGGTGCACCAAAAAACACCTTGCGATAACTTTGGTTGCTAGGAGACTTTACAGGTTTAAGTCATGAGTATTTTTTTTACAATTTTATGACACTTGAGAGACACAGAGTTACAATCATTTCTGATTCTGCTCAGAGAAAAACATTGAAGCTAAAGCGTGCCCTTGGAGAAGAAACAGGAGTAATAATGTGTGATATTACAGTATTTGAAGGGGGAGACAACACAAAATAGGAAGATGTATTTTGATTTGTTTACTGTTTTGTCTCCTGTTACACTGCAATAGAAAGCATTTAGCATCAGTAGTTTACATGTATTTTTTTCTTTTCTATCCAGTGCAGTGTTATTGTTTTCCATTCTCAATTACATTACTATCCCTGCAAATTTACATGCAAATGTGAGTGCTCTTTTGGCTGACAATGTAAAACGTTGTGCTCCTGAAATCAGCATCTAAACAGTATTCAATTAGCAGTCAGTTATTGTTAGGTTTTGTATTGTTGATTGTCATTTATGCTTAGAAATATTTAACCATATATTCTTAGAGGTGTATAATCAATTGTGTAGTGATAGGTTGTGTGATCTTTAACAGGCTGCAAAGGCTTGGTGTGTATTCCACACTAGAATGCACATCTACCTGGGAGCATGGGAAGAGGTTGTACCTTGTCTTGTTGTTTTATGGTAGGATTAACGTAGCTATGTTTGTTCTAGTCTAAGTGCTTTTTTGTTTAGATGAAATGCTGGACTCCCTCACTGTGTTATCTAGGGTGAACCATTTAGGGTGAGGGGGGTCTACCCTCTTCCTGACCAAGGATGTTTGTTGTGTGCTTTCATGTATATGACCCTTTGATCAGCAGTAACACACACACAC